AAAAAAAATCAATTGGACTTGGCACAACTTTATAATTTCAAATATTCTGAGTGACTAATATTGGTGATATAATATTGCTTGATATCTCGAAAACCGTCAATAATTTTGGAGTGAAGATATGCATAAATTGTCTTTTATTTTCTATGTAGAAACCGAAAAAGCAATAAAAAATACAGGTTGTTATTTAAAAAAACACAGTTGGGATCCGCCCAGAAAAAATTGAACACTCTGTGTGACCGCCAATATTTTTATTTTGTCGAGATCGTGCAACGAGGTAATATTATAGAAATTTAGATTCCTATCTGTTTCCTAAATTGAGATATGGAACATCCTATTTTCAGTAACTCGAAATATCACTTCCAAAAAATATTATTAGTAAACTCACCTGTATCCTGAACATTGTCATAACTTCAAAATATCCTTTGACGTCGTCAGTTGCTATCAAAAACGGCGGTGCCGTGATATTTCTCAGCCCTCTTATAGAAACCAAAGCTACAACTCCGACCAATGTAGTGGCGATAAGGGAAAACATATCTGTCTTGGAAAGAAAGTCCAAACATTCCCATGGGCCTCTCCAACCGTTAACACAAATAAAAGCAAAGCACACCGTATAATTTCTCGACACTAAATAAAAAATTATCCTATTCCTCTCTGGATGGAAGTTTCTTTCAAAAACTTTTTGAAATATGGAGAAAATCAGGTGCCCCGTCATGCCTATCGAAATGGAAATTAGGCCGTTGTACGGATCCCCAAATGGGGCGAGGTAGATATCCATTAAACCCCATACTGCCCTCCAATACCCGACCACACAGGGACACACCACAAGGGATGCGAAGAGCAAATCTAGAATTGTGAGTAGCGTATAATATTTGGTGGAGTATCCCTGAAGATTATCAGGAAGACCAGCAGTACTTCCTCTCATTTTACACCCCAGAGATATCTACCCATGGATACAACTGTCAAAAATGCACTTCGTTTACATGATCTGTGCCGTGCTTTCGGCTTATTTTTTGCGAACAATAAATTCAACTGAATGAACCAAATGGTGAGCGAATGTCCACCCTACCTTTCGTAGAGAGAGTAGAGGAACCACGTGATGTCAACAAATTAAAGCACGTTATTGTTAAAGTTCCAACGATCTACTGAGCAGTTCCTATCTTCTCACTTATATACGAGGACCGACAATTGGACACATTAAGTTTAAAATGAAAACTCGAATTTCCAAACAGAGCCAGTTCTGGCATTTTCCAAAAATTGAGTGAGTCCACCATATTCGATACTTTCAAAATCTGATCTGATTTATTTCTTGCACGTTCAGGTGGTTCAGAGTAAATGTAACGTTATCTGAATGCATTTAAATAATGTTAATTCCATGATTTCCCCGTTCGAAAAGTATTTTCTTTATGAAATTATTGTTTAAATTTACATGAGTTATGTTTGAATTAAATTTTTTTATGCAAAAACCGTACGCCAAACAAAGAAGATAAATGGGCTAGTTTTGCTCATAAAATATGAGAGTTTTAAAAACTATTTTCACTTTGACAAAAACCACGGTATTTTCACTTTTCCTGATTCTGTGCAAACCATACATGAGGGCCACTATCCAGAACAAAAATGTAAGTTATTCGTGTTAATTTTCATTTATCAAACCAATATCTGCACAATACATTATTAATTTTTTCTCAAATGTTCGCCAAAACATAGAATCGTCGAATTTTGTTTTTGGCTCTATCGCCTTCATTTCCAATGGTTTGAAAAAGGCAAAGGAACTTTCAATACTTTTTTTTATTCGTTATACAGTGTCATCAGAAAAGTATCCACCATATGGGAAACTTATTTTATTAAGAGATTTTCGACAAAATGTTATTCTTGATAAAAGTTTGTGCATCCCCTAAAACTGAACATGCACCAACAGAAAACCATAAAACGCACGTAATATACGAAAAGCCTTCAAATATTTGATTTTGAGACATGGGTAAAGTACTCCTATTTTGGAAAATCTCTAAAAATGTTATTTGAAGCCATGGCCATCTAAGTGATGTTTTATTTTTTTACCCATTTTTTAAATGGGGACTACGAAAAGAAAAAATTTGCAAAAATTATAAATATACAGCATGCTGTATACAACGGTCTATTTCAAAAGCCTGCAATATTACAAACTACACAATTATGGTATCAACCACGGTCAATTTTTTCGAAGAGTAAAATAATTTTCAAAGTTTTTGGTGCAAAGTTATTTTTATTTTTTGTTAACACCGAAAATCATTCAAAATTATACAGTATTGTAATTAGAACTTGATATTCAATAATATCAGATCACAAAACATCAGAATGAAATAGGTATTTTGGAACAAACTCATTGATTTTCTGGAGATTATTTTGGAGAATTAGTTTGGACAAGAAAATCTCCAGAAAATCAAAGAGTTTGTTCCCAATTACCTATTTTATTTTTATGTTTTGTGATTTGATATTTTTGAATATCGAGTTTTTGTCACAATACTGCATAATTTTGAGTAATTTTAGGTATTAACAAAAAATAAAAATAACTTTGCACCGAAAACTTTGAAAATTATTTTACTCTTCAAAAAAATTGACCGTGGTTAACACCTTAGTTGTGTAACTCTTCAGGCTCTTAAAATGAACTGTCGTATACAGGATGCTGTATATTTATCGTTTTAGCAAATTTGTTTTTTTCGTAGTCCCCATTTAAAAAAAATGCGTTAAAAAATAAAACGTGACTTAGATGGCCATGACTTCAAATCAAATCTAGAGAAATGCTAGAAATAGCATTTCTCGACATTTTTCAAAATAAAAGTACTTTACTCTTGTCTCAAAATCAAATATTCGAAGGCTCCTCATATATTACGTGTGTTTTACTGTACTTTGTGGTGCATGTTCAGTTTTCGGGATGCACAAACTTTTATCAGGAATACCATTCTGTCGAAAAATATTTCATTCATTTCCATTTGGTGCATACTTCGGGGATGACACTGTATATAATCAAAGCAATTTGCAATGCATCGTTTCGTTCATTATATTTCATCATAAACTTTATTATTTCAAAGTTTGTTATTGTGGTTTGTTTCGTTGATTTTTGTAGCCACTGTAATAACAAATTATGACAACATATGTGTTTTCCGAAGTTTTCCCCAACATCACTGTATGTTCATACAATTTCCGCTCAGAACTACCTCAAAAAAGTAGAAACCAATATTTTTCCATTTGGAGCTCGAAGCTATACATAAACTCCATATATCTGAAAAACATGTAACATATCAAGTGAGAAACAGAAAAAAATAATGTCAAATAACTGATAAGCATGTACGTCATTTAAAATAACTCATCAAATGTTCAAATTGCCATCTATTATATATCCGCTCTTGCAATAGTAATTCAAAAGCAATTTTCCAGCATTTGTGTAGTTATAGTCACGCAAGCCTCCTCCTCATTGGTTCTTTCAATTCGTCGATATTGCCAAAAGTTGAGGCAAATACCTTGTGTTTGAAAAAACCCCACAATGAAAAGTCCAGAAGGGTCCGATTAGGTTAACGTGGTGGACATATGGAATATGGAATTTGGTTTCCTATCCATCGCCCAGACACGGGCCATATTTTTTTATATCAAGCGACGGGCGCTTGATATAAAAAAATATGGCACAAAGCGCCCACGCTGTTTTCACAAATACTAGTATTTTTCGTTCGCTGTTTCGTTGATTTAAGCTCATTTGCAAAAATAATTTTTGACTTTTTAGTTCGTTGTTCTTCAAAGGTGTGTTTTTTAGTTTTTTAAACTATATTTATTTTTCATTTTTTAGTTTCGCATGCTATAAAAAGCGTGTTTTTTAGTCTTTTTAAACTATATTTATATTATCTGAACTTTGGGATCAATCTGCCGTATATTTTTCAGAAATTACCATTGATATTTTCCGATTCCAAAGAGGGAGCGTGAAAATCAGCTTCCAAGCCCAAGGCAGCAGGCGCGCAAAGGAGGGTTAGAAATATGGCAACAGGCGCGCATGCATTGAAAAAAACTTTTTTCAATTGAAGAAACACATGTAAAGTGAGTTCTAATTATATGAAGGAGGTTACATACAGTGCCATCTGTCCGCGAATCGATCAAGCAAGAATGTCGATAATTCTGTAAAATACAGATCCCGAGCTTGAGAGTTACAAATAAACAAACAAACTGACTAACAAAAAACAAACAAATAAACATACATACAGGTGAAGCTAAGGAAATAATATAATCATCAAATATTAAATAATTAAAATGAGGTCGATGATGGAATCTAATGAATGAAACTGATATGGGGCATTGCAAATTGCCTCATATCATATTGCAAAAAATATTAAAGAGTTTTGAAAGATCCTCTGCCGTTTTTTACATAATTCGAAATGAAAGCGGTGGAGCCAATAAACAAAATTTGACAATTATATTTTTTGACAAATATTTCCTCAAATTAGCAAACTTTTGTCCAGCTTAACCGACCTTGTGAGTCTTATCGTTTCCAAGATAGCAATAGTGGTATCAGTTAAAATAAGAAACCGGCCAGTAAGTCTGAATGATAAAAATTATAATTGGTTGCATGATCATAAACTAATCTGGAAATATCTTCCAGATAATTAGGCTCCCCAAGTTATATCAGAAGCTCATTACCATTAATATCAATAATGTCATTATTGGATAACAATGCACTAGAATCTCTTGTACGTAAACTGTTCGGGCTAAGTACATTCGATTAGCGATTAGGATATGTTACTTAACTGACTGTAAGTTAACTGCCAATTTTTAGGCTGGAAAAGCATTACCAAACTGAGTGGTACTTCGTTGAAAATGAGGCCACTGGTTGATGTGTAACAAATAAACTGAAATTGGATATAAGAGTTTGCTAAATTTTCTGCTAACTCTGGAATAGGCGATACTGTGAAATTGTTTGGGATAGCATTTGAACATATAATCTCAGCATCGACATAAATATCAGCGTGATTACAAGTTATCCAGCGATATTTATATTCAACATTAAATTATTATCCGCTTTAATATCTGGAGAATTACTCATTGTTATCCATTTCAATCTTATTTTATTAATTCTATGTTTTTTTAGAAATACTCTTCTGGTTTTTCAAATATGCTCAACTAACAAAATAAAGCTATTCGAATATTGACAGATGTAGGATTGTGAGAACATTATTAATTCTTCCTGTTTTGTGAATAATTGATAGAAAGGCAGATAGCTCATCAAAATAATCTGATGTTCATCATACAAGAAATTTTGAAATTGTTCCCGAAAAATTCTTTGAATTATGACCTAATCAGATGAGTGAAATACTCATATTTTGCATAGACAAAAGAAATCAAGAAAACTGCTCTTAGATGATCCGTTCTTTGTCCGTTCTCAAATCTCCGTTAAGCATATATGACTTCTTACAAACATTTAAAAATGTTACGTGGTCAACCTTCATTACTGATAATTTTCCTAATATCGTTTCAGTTCCTAAATCATTTTCAATTCTTCATTGAGAAAATTCATCTCATTAAATCAAAAACAATTTCAATCTTTTTTCCAATATCATTTCTTTCAAAAATACTTTCACCGTGAAGAATATGTTCACTACATTGAGAGACAAAGCTCCAAATGTATACAATTCTGCATGAGTCTATAGAATTTCCTGTGCATATTGTAATAATAGTATTTAAATTGGTCAAACCAGCAGACTTCTCAAAGACAGACACCATAAAAGTGATTTATTGGGTAGAATTCGCACCTCTGGCATAAAATGAATTTGTAAAAACCCTTTTCCCAAACTTAGAGAGAAACAGTATATCCCAAAGCGGTAATCAGGTGAGTATCACTAGAAGATACAAATGCCTATCTGGAATGGGTTGTTCAACGCTCATCATGGATCTCATTCCACAGTGTTCTTCCTAAGGCGTCCAAGAACCGATCTTAAAAATTTCAAACATTTTTCACTTATTCTGTGATTGTTGTCTGAGGAATATTCAACAACGTTAGACTTATCTGGTCTACGAAACCAAATATGTCAAACGTGTTCCTGGAAACGTATTATCATAGCTCGCTTAGTCTGACCAATATATTTTTTGTCGAAATCCTCACAGATTATTTCCTAAATTTTAGACTGCCCTCTTTCGGTCACACGTCTGAGAGTGAAATAACTTGTGTTCAATGATGTCTTTCAATGATTTCAATGATTCATGTCAATGATTTGAAGATGCGAAGGGATTTTGTTTCCTAAACGTTAATTTTTTATTGTTCATGAAATACTCATTGGGATTTAAAAATTTTTACATCATGTATCTTCTGAAGAAGAAACAAGAGGGTACATTCCAAACAAAATCTTACCGACAACCAAACTTTGCACTTGGTATAGTGAAAGCAACTAAAATTGATGGAAAAGCATGGCTATGGTTTGAACAGACGATATGGAGATAGGAGATCAGGAAAGATTTATTCATATATCGGTCAAGAAAAAGTATGCCAAAAAGGTTTCTTTCCGTAAATATGGTAATATTTTGAAATTCCAGTGAAACCAAATCTAACCTTAAGTAACCAAATGCAGTAGACCAGCTCATGACGCAACGAATACGTAAAGTTACTGTATAGCTGAATCAGCATTACAAGCTGAAATATCTTCCAGGTTCTCAATGATATATGAAACTCTCAACTGTCATCAAATATGTGCACTGCTAAAATGAAAATCGGTTTATTTTTCTACAGAAAAATAAGTGAGTACGAGAGAAACAGTCATCTATCTATAATAATAAGGAAAAATCACTGCGTGAGCTTTAACCATAAGCTAAATATTTAATATTACAACATTTTTGGAAAAAATCTGTTTTCTATTCGTACAGTGTACATTCTTTCTGGTTTGAAATATTTGATAGGTCGGGTATACGGGATGTTGAAGTAGAGAACAGACCAAACATATGTTTGCTATTCTATCCACTATGGCTAAGTCACCTTCAAGAAATAAAAATGCTCAGCGATCAATTACTTTGTATTTTAATTGAAATTTTATTTATTGCCAATACGTTAATTAAGGTTTGAGTGTTCTGGAAATACCCTCAGATTGATGGTCATTTTACTCAAATCACTTCTGGATTCTTCTTGGGAAAAAACCGGAATCCCACTTTTGGGATTGTTTCCTGCAGCATAACTGGTTTCTATCGGATACAAATTCAATGTTATTGTCATTGGTTTCTTTGCAGTTTCACGGAAATTCAGAAAATGATCCATGACTTTTGTCATATCATTTTCATTCGTCACTCTTTTTTCGTTCGTCAATAAAACTGGAACATTTTCTGCGGAAGAAGAATTCAGAGGGATGGTACTGTACGGATGATTTGTGATCTGAGATATTTTCGGAATGAATTGCAGTTGAGGTCTATTGTGTTCATCTTCCAAATTTCGGAAATCTTTCCAGACAGGAGGAGCAAATCTCACCCTACCGGTTGCTAACAAATTCACTTCACTAGGGTCGTTGGGTTTGTAGCGATGGAAAATATCATCATTAACAGAATTGTTCAAATACTCCTTTGAATTATTTACATCCCTTTTTCCAGTATTTTTGGTATATTCCATAGTTTGATGAACAGGTTTGTTTCTCATATGTCTCACAATCTCTTGAATATTTTTGGGATAGTATCTATTCCTATAATTCGTCAGTTGTGGATAGATCAAAGTTGTAGGCCTTTTCGTGGTGGAGGTGGTAGTCGGGGGAGTAGGTGAGAACTTCCTAGGCATTGGTCCTCTATATTCAACTTTGAATGGTTTAGGATGCACTGAAGTTTGAGCATTCTCGTCATTTAAAGAAGGTGCTTGAAATATATTATTATTTGTTTCTGATGACGGATTCTCGCTACCTATCTTCTTTGTACAAATTATAATCAGGAACAATAGCTGAAATATTTTTGAAAATCAATATGTATAATATTTCAAAAATTAGGTTAGGTTGAATGGTCATCTCAAGTTTCGACTATCAAACGGAGCCTTCCCCAAAAGTGACTTATCCTGTCGTATTCGGAAATTGATCGCGTTAGTAACAGTGACTTTTGGAGATATTATATTAGAAAGGGTACTACTTTTCATTTATTAGACCATAATGCCATTTGAAGTTGATAATGCGAATAAATACTACTGTACTTACTGTGAAGTAAGCAGAATTCGAAATTACAGAACCCCAAAATTTTGCACTGAATCACTCGTTTCAAGAAATAACGCTTCATGCAATTCTACGTAGGTACTACCTAGAATTTAAAGTAGGTACTACCTAGAATTAAAAAAAATCAATATTTCCTAAATCTAGAAAAACAATTGAAATTTTTAAATTCCAATACCCTTTATTTCAAAAACGGTGCATTTCCACTAAAATATCTCTAAAATAGTTACCTTCACGAAAAAAGCTCAAATGATGAACGCTGTATAAAAAACAATATGGCGCCCAGAATAGAAAAAATTTGATGATGATTGCCAGAAGACGAAGCGTCGGATATCAAATTTAAACATGAAAACGTGTAGCTGAAAAAAAGTAACAATGAAAATTTGTTTTCGGTTTTGAGCTTCAAATAATTGATGAGATCATAGTAAATCCTGAACAGTCTACTCATTCCGTCACGAATGTTTGTGAGGTGTGTCCTTCTACTGAATGGAGACTTTTGAAAAGAAATAGGTATCATCCATACAAAGCTAAAATGGTACACCAATTAACTGAGGATGGCCCTGATCGAAGAAACGAATTTGGCGAAATCATGACGCAGAATTCTCCCCAATATTTTTTTTAGTGACGAATGTAATTTTTCTTTAAACGGCATCAGACAAAATTGCCGATATTGGAGTGATACCAACCCTCACGTTTTCCGGAAAACACATACTCAATATCCAGAAAAAATTTGAATTTGGCAGGAATATTGGTAAACCATAATGTAGGACCTTTATTCATTGATCAAAATTCAACAGGTAAACTGTATTTGATTATGCTGGAAATTGCTGTTGACCCTCTCATCACTGAAATCGTCAAAGAAAATCCTAATGAATACGATATGGACATTGTATTCCAACAATATGGAGCACCACCACAGTACTCCACACAAGTAAGAAACTATTTGGATACTACTTTTTCCGGTCGTTAGATTGACCGTCGATGTCCTACAGAATGGCCAGCACACTCACCAGATTTGACACTCTTTTATGGGGCTATTTGAAGCAAGAGGTGTACGAAACTGAACCTGCTTCAATATTGGATATATGGCAGAAAATAATAAATATTTGTAGAGATATTGATATTAATGTGTTCGAAAATGGTAGGCGTGAAATATCGGATAGGCTGTTCATATGTCAAGAAGGTCAAGGCAACCATTTCGAGCATCTTCTGAACTGACATCAAGCTTATTACCTCATATTCTGTAGTTTATTGTCAATGTATTCAGGCAATTATTAAAAGTTCCACCATTTTTTGGTTGACTATGTGAGCTTCAAAATGGTGTGTCACAAGACCCCCCTAATCATTTAATTTTTTTCTCGGATGGCGCCCAGTCGCCATCTTGAAAGTTTCATCTGTCAATTTCACGTAAAAAAAAATCATGCAATAATTTCATTATCCCAAATTTCAATTTTTTGTGTTGACCCGTTCAATAAATGAAAGGGGAGGGGGACATTAAAGAAATGCACTGTATTTGTATCTATTCAGCTGAGCTTAGTTTTGTTCTATCCATATACTCTGCTCTTGTATTTTATATTTTGCATTTTATAGCTTATATTTGTTAATTTAATGTCCCTTTACTTGTTTTAATTTACTAGACTATGCCAATAATATGTTCAGATCTTGGGTAATGAAGCATATTTTGATTTGATCATCAACATCTACAAGACTATCCTGTGAGGTAACTTGTATATCGGATATAATTCAATGTACATCGTGGTATTAGCCGGGAAAGTAGATTTTTGTCCGTAGGCATTGAAACTACTTTGTAGAAAAGTTGAACGAAATTTCCATTCGAAAATATTCGCACTGTTAGATAGTAGCCAATAAAATACTTCCTTTGGCTCATTAGATGTTACAACTGACAAACTGTACAATTTTTGAAAACCAAATACTCAGATAAATCATATTAAATTCTACAAGTAAGGTAAAGTAGGTATTGATGAGTAAAGGTTGTTCCGGTGTAAAATGACACGAAATGAACTGTAGTATCCAGAAAAAAAAGCATAAACCTATTTGTGGTGTGATGAGTCGAACTGTCTGAAATTTTTAAAATTTAACGCAGTTCATCACATTATTGTACGTAGAATATTCAAGAATAGAAAATGAAAAAATAGTTCAACTGCTAGAAGAAAATTGTTCAAGTTCAACTGAAATTTCAAAAATATTTTAGTCACGAGTTAGTCTCAGGGATATGGTTTTGCAATGCACCAGGATGGGCATTGGATGATTACTGATTTCTATATCTGAACTATAACTGAGCTATATCAGTTATTTGTGTTTGCTTTTGTTTCACATTGAATCGGTAATCCATAATTGGTGTAAAAAAATGTTTTAAGTAGGTAGCTTGCCCTGTTTGTTTGTTTGGGTAAAATTCAGTAACTGAAGTTTGACCCCCTTCCTGATGATCGATTGATATGATATTTGGTACACACATTTAGTTTTGATGACAATACAATTTAATAAATTATGTATCGTTGAAAATCCAAGATGACCGCAGCTACAAAATGGCGAATTATATATTTTTTCACAACTACCTCAATATGTGTATCAAATGACAGGGCTTGACTAATAGAATAGTAGTACTCTTTGAAAAAGATGCAAATTCAAGATGACCGCAGCTACAAAATGGCGAATTACATATTACCTTATAGTACTGGGGCACTTAATAAACTGAACAGAATGAGAAGAATTGAGTAACGAAATTAGAAACTGAAAATAATTTTAAAGGTTCTAAGTAGAAGTCATCAGACCACTCTCCTCAGTAATCTACGGTATTGATCAGATGAAAAAATAATGAAATCGTTAGTATTTACATATTTTCTCAGGTTACGCTATCCCCAACGATTTTATTATATTTCATCTGATCAATAGCGTAGATTGCTGAGGAGTGTGCTATAATGACAGCTACCTAGGACCTTCCGAATTATTTTCTACTTCCTAGTACATTATCTATATCATTATTATCTTTTTTTTAATGAAATCGTTCAACATATTTTTTTGAGTATTAAATAAATCACGCCCAAATTATTGGTGTTTATTATTTATATTCTATTTGAATATTTATCTTAGTATCCAATGATATCTAAACTAAAACTGAATCAATTTCCGTTGATTTGAAACACGATCGTCTAGTTGAGATGACCAGAGTTCAAGTCAGGAGTAGTTAGTATATTTATGTACTTACAACTATAAATGTTGATAATCCAGCGATTGCTAATCCAGTTTTAATACGAAAATGTTTCTTCTTTCCCGTTTGGATCACTTTGAACAAACCCAATTCTGATGAGTCTATGCAATGTTTCATCTCCATGAATTAATGTCAACACAATGTCAACAAGGTTTATTGTATATTCATGTGGATTCAAAGAAGAAATATTCACAAATGGGTGATCTGAAAGTGTTCTCAGTTTAATATTCTCTGGAGCGTTACACCATTACAATGATACCAGAGAATAATTGGAGCTTTACAGATCCACCAAGTTTTCACGACTTTTCCATTAAAATAGCATGAAGATGTCACGCGAAATGCAATTAAACAAATCACCTCATTAGAACAATAAAAGACAACAAGGAGAACCTTTAAAACATGAATATATGAACATTACCGATTAATAAAAATGTTATATTTTGATGTTTGATGAAACTTTCAATAAGAAAGTATATACAAATTAAGAAGATACAGCAAAAAATAGTATTTTCCAATTTCTGGCGTTTCCTTCTTATCTCCGGAACCAAAAAAGCTTAAGTCGATTTTGCGAAATCATTTAATTACAGTGTGTCAATTTTAAAACTTACAATGGGCTATATATCAGGAACGAAAGCTGATATCGAAAAATGCTTGAAATCGTTTCTAAGATAGTAAGGGGGAACTAAAGTGACATGAAAGAGGACTCACCCCCATCAACCCCCTAGGCCCCACCCACCAAAACACAAAAAGTTTAAATTGCAAACCCCTACTTGTGATACATCATTGAAAAGACTATAAAAATTGCAATCCAATGGTATGAATAATAATTGAACAGGGTGAAGCAATAATTGTGAAACTTTGGCTCAAATGGAATATTTGATGAGTTTTTTGTTGAACTGCAAATTTATTAAAAATGTCAATTAAGTAAATGGTCAAAGTGAGTTCCGTTGTTTCATAAACAATAATACAGACTATTTTCAAATTCTGCACGAACTTTGGCAAATGTTGTTCTAGTAATGGTGCGACATGCTTGCATAATTCTTTCTCGCAATTCCCCAAGTGACGCAGCTTGAGTTTTATAAATAACTGACTTGAGGTGTCCCCACAGAAAAAAGTCAGGTGGCGCCAAGTATGGTGACCTCGGTGGCCACTCAATGGGACCTCTCCTTCCAATCCATTTGTTCGGATAATTAGTATCCAACCAGTGCCTAACTGGAGCTGCCTAGTGAGGAGGTGCTCCATTTTGTTGGAAGTGCAGCAAATCTTCGTCTACAGCTAGGTTGCCTTGGTCGTTCCTTTGATTCTCTAATTCATGCACAATTAAAGGTTCGATGGTGTTTTCCAGCATATAAGAAAAATGTTGATTATTGAAGTGAAAAGTGTTAAAGAAGAAGGAATAAGGTGTAAAGGTGACCTAGTGAATAAATGCTTGTGTTTTTTTTATTATTTATACCATTGGATAGCATTTTTTATAGTGTTTTCAATGATGCACCTCAAGTAGGGGTTTGCAATTTAAACTTTTTGAGTTTTGGTGGGTGGAGCCTAGGGGGTTGATGGGGGTGAGTTCTCTGTCATGTCACTTTAGTTCCCCCTTACTATCCTAGAAACGGTTTCAAGCATTTTTCGATATCAGCTTTCGTTCGTGAGATATAGCCCATTGTAAGTTTTAAAATTGACACACTGTATACCCGAAAACGAGCAACTCTGTTACAATCCACCGTTAACGAGATACCCATGCAAAGACTTGAATTTGAATCGCAATTTATGAATGATCTCCATCAAAAAAATATATTTTTGGCCGAATTTGCTCTGTCGTGAAATATGATCAAGAAACATCAATAACTTACCTTAGAAAAATACCTGATATTGAATAAAAATGTTTCTTCTCTGATATCCATACTGAATGCCATGGGAGTTGAACAAACGTTATAAATTCCTCCAAATATGGCAAGAAATAGTATGGAGATCATAGTCAATAACATGTCCAGGGCAATCCCCTGTGAGTAGGTATCACAAATTGACCAAAGCGAGGCCCATTGAGCTATCCCAGTGAAGTAAAACACAAATAAATATAATATGCGCAAAGAAAACTGCACTGTTTTGATTAAGCCTTGGTTGTTTTTGTAGCCCGCTAAAAGTACTTCGTGAATAACGTTCTGGCTGAGAGCAAACGTCCCGTGAGCTAAATATGATACTAGTAAAGTTTTCCACAGTGGAAAGTACATCTGGTACATGTTTATCAGTTGCCATGTTCCTCTCCAAGAGGCTACCACGAGAAATGTCATGACGGTAAAACATATTACTACATCTGCTATAAGTAGGGTTCTTTGGTTGTCTTCGTTTACCGGATGCGTATAATTCTCCTCAGGGGTAACATCAATCAATGGAATTTGTTGAAGGATCTCCCGTTCTTTGCTGTCTTTGCGATTTGGTTCGATCATGATTCGCTTCATTCCACTGAAAGTAGTGTCACTGTGTTTAATATGGTCAGAAGTGCGACGCCATTATTATTTTCGTAATCCCATACTGTTATTTCTATTTAACGGTATTCAGATGACAATTGAAAAGTTAATGTTACCAGCCTCCATCCGTTAAGGTTTTTTAACAAAAAAATTGATTTTGAATTGATTAATGTTCTTTATTTAATGAAACATTATTTTGAAAAATGAGAAAGATAACTTTCTATGTTTTTTATCACTTTTATTTGTATATTACTGGAGTTTTTTCTCAATACCAAACCGTTAAAAGGGATATCAAACTAGTTTGATATCCCTCTTGATGATCACTTGGTGATCGAAATTCGTGTCGAGGTGTTAAAATAACGGTTTGGCGGGTTAAAACTCCAGTAATATTAATTACTACACCAAAGGTTCCAAACAGTGCAGTTTCGTCCTATGAACATTTTCAAACTAATACAATTGAATATGATAGTAATACAATACAGTTCATTGTATTACTTCGAAAATGTCCTTATAGGATGAAACCACAGTAACGGTAAAAAAAATAAACAAAAAAAACATAGAAAGTTTCATTTTTCATGATGATCTATCACGTGGTATTGAAAAGATCTTTATTTTATACAAATCAAATGCATACCTACCTAAAAGATTTTGATGAAGGGATATAAAAAAAATGATCAACCAACAGTCAAGCACATTCACTGAAAATAACTTCTAAAATATCAGTGATAACAATGACAATAGTTTATATAACAAACCGATTATTCGAATATACATAATATGAAGTAATGGAAAGGTTCGTGATTCTTATCATATCATCACGATGAAATTTCAAATATCGTTATCGTTCATTTATTCCATACTTGAAATTCCTGATGAATACATGACAACAGGAACTTGCATCTGACGATAATTATTGAAAAAAAAATCATATTGAACAAAGTTAAGTATTGCAAAAAATTAAATGATTCGTGGGACTTTTGTGAACAGAGTAAACCTATAAATTCTTTCTGACGCTGAGTCTACAGAGGAGATGGATGTCGAGCTTATGACTCCAACTGACCTCCCTGTAAATTCAGATCAGGAGCGAGTCTAGAGGAAAGATGGATGTAGAGCTTACGACTCCAACTGACCTCCCTGTAAATTTAGATCAGGAGCGAGAGCTTCTCAACTCTCCAACTCCTGATCCAATAACTAAACCTAAAGAAAAGGTTTAGCGGTGCAGCCAGGACACGACTGAGTCGTTACCTCAAGTGCGGGGTACCTTATGAAACCGCCTTGCACCAAATTCTTGAGCGGCGTACGAAAAATCTGTCCCAGGTGGAGGAACAAACCCTCAATGAGCAGGTTAGCAAACATTTGCGCTCAAGTCATGATTCACCATAACCAGAGGCAAAAAAGCCCTGCATGGTTGAATATGAGCCATCGACAGGTGTAGCTGGCGTGCAAAAACCCTCATATGGGAAGGTTGTCGCGGGTATCAAGGTGGGAATTTTGCACCTTGACTACCCGACTACATCATTAACGATGAAACAGCAGAGCATATACTTTGTGCCTGCTCCGCTGTGGACCGAATCAGGTTTTTGAAGCTTGGCCGATCCGTACTCTTACCATCTGACCTGAAAGACCACTCACCATACAAACTAATCGGCTTAGTTAAGAAGCTGGGTTTATTTGGTCGGGTGTGAATAGGTATGAGCCACAATAAACCCTTGCGGGTTGCGACGGAGGGTCGAATAGACCCACTTACTTTGGATCTAACCTAACCTAACCTAAATCAAACGATCCATTTCCTTGATGGGCATTGGATTCCTTTGAGTAAAATTTCTTGTAGATGCCTATTGTTCGTCCAGCAGCATGACCCTACTGATATTAATCTCAGCGAAGTAGTAAAAGTTTTATCTCGCTATCAAAGTCTCGAGTAAAAAAAAACATACCATATTCCAAAACTCCAACATATCAAGTCTGAAAACTGTGTCGAAGAGAGATACAAAGAACTATGAATATTCGAACTGAAATTCAAAACAATCACCTCCCTTGACGTTCCTACATAGTATGTAAATACCTGAATCCTTGGCTAATACCACGACGGACATTGGATTATATATGACAATCAGAAGCAGCAATTGGCTGAAATTACTGAAGTGATCACCTACAGATGATGTCGGAGTTTTATTTTTTTGCAGTGCAAGACAGCAGTGTTGTCAATTGATTCAGTAAAGTCCTTTTTTGATGCAGATACGTTACAACTTTTATAATACATCATATAGTATTTGTGAACCTTCAACTTTACATAATTTAAATTTCATTCAATATCCAATAACTCAAAATTTAACTTTTACCCGGTTTTGCCAAGTTGATGGAGAATAAAACTCACAGATATTTTTATTTTGCATAGCCATATCAGTTTTCGACAATTATTCAGATTTGGCAATACCGAAGGCACCGATACAAATATATCTACCTCCACTGTCGTCACACATTACATTGCATGTATGTATATACTACAATAACAAGTGAAGAACAATAATAAAAAGTATTTTGAAATAAAGTGAAGTAACTAAACTTCATGAGGATGTCTCACATTGCCTCATAATACTGTCACAGGCCATTCAGATTGGTCAGGATGCTTTCAAGTACTTGGGACATCTGTCATTAGAGCATACGAATGATATGATAATGATAAATGATATTCTGTGGTACTATTGTCTGATCACCCAGTATATTGACCCGATTGAAGTTTTGAATACAACTTGGGATTTCTATTTCTATTTCAATGTATACATAATACTTGCGAAAAAATCGTAGATTCCTTGGTTTTCAGTAGTCAGTTGCTAATTCCGAGTACGATCAA